ATTAAGTCTGGTACCCCTCCTGGGACTGCTCTGCACAGTGTCTGCAGGAGGGCTGCCAGAGTGGGCTGTCCACAGCTGCACTCTCCTCTGATCCTATGCTAAACTATGGTCTGGCTGCTTCAAAACATGAAAGGACTTTTTCTGCTTCTGTATTTCTGTCATGGCAAGAGATTCTGGCCATCTGGCTGTGTCCCATGCTGAGGGTGGAGCTGGCCCCACTTTGGTACAGGGGGACCTCCTGATGTAAGCAGGAGGTGGGTTGTCTTAGCTGTACTTCCAGACACAGGCAGACGCTCCTTCTTCTGGGTCAGATGTAGGGATGGGGCATGTTTCTGCATGGCCATTTGAAGAGCTGGTGGGGGATGACGGATGATCTGCTGTGGGGGCGGTGCCAGGTGACAATGTTTGCCTGGATTTAGCCTCTGGAGGGAGGCAGAAGGCTGGGGCATGGCCAGAGGCTCTCCTGGCACGGTAGAGGAGTTGGGTGGACACTTACCTGTCTCTGCCATTTTTCCCCAGGAAGATCTGGCAGAAGGAAGGGCCCACAGCCTTCTTCAAAGGGGCGTACTGCCGAGCTCTGGTCATTGCTCCTCTCTTCGGCATTGCACAAGTTGTCTACTTCATTGGCATCGCAGAGTTCCTGTTGGACATGCTCCCCAAGCCCCGGGCCTAGCCCTGGCGTGCCGGTGTGCCCTCCCGCCCTCTGCAGCGCTGAATTCATCCCCGTGTTCACCATCCGTGTCCGTTGATGTCAGAGCAACAGCACAAAGGGTTCGCGCAGGGATGCCGAAGGGACGTGGTCTCCAGATGAGCAAACATGGGGAGGGAGAGAGTCCCTTCTCTGTCTTGGTCTGGAACCTGCCTCCTCCTGCTCCTTCCACGGACAATAGTTAATTATTCATATCTCTTTCATTTTTTTTTATTTCCCTTTTTTTTTTTTTTTAATTACCATTCGTAAGGACACTGTTAAGCACAGACTGGGCTTGCAGACCCAGAAGTCTCCTCTCAGCCTTGGGAAGAAAAGAGAGAGGGGAAAGAAATAACTTGAACCCTCATCCACCCTAGTTTCCCTCTTTCTTCCTGGAGCTGCCAGCTATCTGAGGAGGAGCTGGAGGGGCAGCTGTGTCCCCTCAGCACTTCCAGGGCTCTGCTGACCTTGGGTCAAGAGCGGGCACTGCACATAGGGGGCCTATCTCATTGCTGCTGGAGGCACAGTGGGGGGGTTGCTGGACCTGGCAAGTTCCTTGGCCTGGAAACCTTCACTCCTCCCTTCTCCCTTTTTAAAAACGAGTTGGACTTAAATGAATGCTGATTGTTAATATTGATTTTGTAATTATTTTTGTTTTAAAGCAAAGGGATGTCCCTCCTAACTAGTTGTCACAGGCACATCCAGGTGAGGTGCAGAGATAAGATGTCTGCTCTGTAGGGAACATGTCTGTGGGATCACATGAATGTCCAAAGGTGCTTCCCTGCTTGACTACAAGCAGGGAAGGGAGAGGAACTTGGGATCAAGTTATTTTTGTTTGGGGGTGTTTTCTGGGTGGTTTTTTTTGGGGGGTGGGGGTGTTTGATTTTGGTTTTTTTTTGGGGGGGGGCTTTTATTTGTTTGTTTGGTTTTGGTTTTTTTTAATGTGGGGTTGTGGGGAGGGAAAACCAAACAACAAGAAACCACTTACATTCCTTCAACCTGCTCGCCCCCAGGGTGATAAAGTGGTGGCTGCAGGTGTAGAGTACCTGATCTAATTTTTTTCCAGCCTGACCCCACGTGTGTGAAGGGAGGCACCTGCTCCATTTCCGTGGTGCCCAAACTCCACAGGGAGCCGCACTAGAAATGCTGCTCCTGTGTTCTCACCTTGCAAGGTGAAAACACAAGGTCTGGTTGTGTTTTGATGTTTAACTTGGGTGTGTTTGGAGTCAGCCAGTGTGGAAGAGGCAGGGGGTTCCCGCACCCTGATCCAGGAGCTGTTTGCAGGTGCATGACCTGCAGGGCGAGTCCTCTGCATCACAAAAAGCTCGTCATGCCATTGGCTATTGGGGCGGTGATCACTGTTGGGTGCCAGAGGCCAAATCCATACCTACAACCCGCTCTGTCAAAGGGACACTGCCCCAGCTAATATCACTTGTCAGGGGACTTCCTCCTTCAGTACTCTTTTGGGCTGTGTAATTAATTCTAGCTTAAATGACCTTAAGTGTGAGACCTTCCAACCCAGTGTGATCTTCTCCATTATTTATTCCATTTGGTGCAATCCACCCAACTTTGGTGTTGAAATTAAACTGGTTGAATTCACTTTTCATTCCTTCTTTTTGTTTTGTTCTCCAGGCGCTTGCTTGGTGTTTGTGTTTCAAATGTGTATTTAAATTAATTAAAAAATCCCTGTTTTTAATGTTTAAAAGGAAACCATCTCTGTTTCAATGTTCTTGAGTTAGGTTTTTGTAAAACCTGTATGTTGAGGGCCTTCTTCTTGATGAATCCTTTTTCTCTTCAAGAAAGTTGTTCTGTGGTTGATTTGTTACTTGTCACTATGCATATATGAATAATGTTTTTTATTTTTCTTAATGACTTCTCCATGTATCTGGGAAGGAATCTGTGCAAAGATGATGGCTGTCTGTGCTGTGTGTGGTGCTGTGATGCTGCTCTTGCTCTGGAATTTCCCTTGGGTGGATTAAAAGAGAAAGATTTATTTTATTTTTTTTTAAGGTGCCCCATTCCTTGCTGCTTTGTGATTTACAGGGAGGGTCCTCAAAAAACACTTTACCAATAAAATTAATGGGGTTTCAGCCTGCCCTCCTCCTGCCTGTGAGGATTGTCCCCTGAAGCAGGATGACTTGTGGCTGCAGGGGTGTGTGTGAGGTGCAGGTTTGGATTGTGGGGTTAAGTTTGGAGGAAAATTTGGTGCAGAGAAGCACTGAGGTTCAGGGAAAGCTCTCCTTGTCCTTTGGGATGCTTTTGAAAACCTCTTTGTAAAACTGAGTCTTCCCTCTCAAATCACCAGCTCTTCTTCCACTGTTTTGGAGCTAGTGACCCTAATGGGGCTGATTTTTAGCTTCTTGGACATGTCCCTGAGTCAGCAGGACCTGGGGAGGTGGCAGGGGATAGTGACCATGGCTGCACAGGAGCTCCCTGGGCAGGCAGGGTCCTGCTTGCAAAAAAAACGGGAGAAACCTCATCAACTTAATTAATCATCTATTAACTGAAACCTCTTGGTATTGATTGCAATAATGAGGAATAAAAGTAAATAAACACACCTCTGCTCCCTTCTCTGCAGGTGCCAGTTGTCCCTGGGGCAAGAGCTGTCAGCCAGCAAGGGATCAACTCCTTGTGCAGCCTCGCTGGTCCCTCTGGCATCTCTCCACCCACGCCAGGCTGTTCCCAGTTGTACCTTGTCCCTGTCAACCCTCTCCCTTGCTCCCACCCTGCCCCTGGCTGCCATGGCTCCTGTTTGTTTGGGTTTCATGGTGTTCATTGCCCTTAAATACATTTTGCTGGAGGTGCTGTACTTGAACCTTGTCCTGGGTTCAGGTGCGTGAGTCAGTTTTGGCTGGTGGAATTTCCTGGAACGCAACAAGGAAATTTCCTAAAACCCTGGGGAGAAATTCCTATGAAGCAAATGGAAAATTCTGGCAACTGATAGGGGAATTCCTGGGAAGCAAAGGGGAACCATACTAGAAAGTTAAATATTCTGGAAGAAAATTGGGAAATTTTCTGCAAGACAACATAGGAATTTCCATGAGAACACTAGGGGGAAGTCCTTGAAAACAAAGGGAGAAATACTCTGGGAATTTTTAGAAAGCAATGGGGGGACTTTCTATAGGGGGGACAGCCTAGAGATAAAGGGAGAGAAATTCGAGAAAGCAAGGAGGAAATTTCCTCAAATACCTGGAAAACTCCTGAAAAGGAGAAGTGAAATTTCTCTAGAAAGTAACAGTAATATTTCCTGGAGGGGAAATTTCCCGGAAAATGAAGGAGAAATTGGTGGAAAGCAAAAGGGGAATTGCCTGGAGAGGAAGAATGATATTACTTCGGAAATAATTTCTTGCTTTCCAGGGAGTAAGTGTCATGGGGGAATTTCCTAGGAAAGCAGTGGAGGTCCTCTAAGAACAGAGGGAAAAAATCCTGGAAAGCAATATAGGACTCTGGAGAGCAACAAGGACATTTCCCAGGAAACAAGGAAGAAATAGCCTGTGAAGTGACTAGGAAATTTTGTGGAACACAGTGGGTTTTTAGGAAGGAAGCCGAAGATTTCCTGCAAAACAAAAGGCAATGTTCTGGAAAAACATGTAGGAGTGCCTAGTAAGCAGTAGGGAGAAGTTCCTGGAACAAAGAGGAAATTTCCTCATAAAGCAGCACAGCGGGAAGGAGGCAGCAGCAACTCCGTGTTTCAGCCCCACTGTCCCCCAGTCTGATCCTTGGGTAATGAACTCGAAAAACACCTCACGGGATTTGAGTGGTTTTTGCTGCTTCCCGCAGAGCTCCAGGGGGCTCGGGGAGGGCGCAGGGGCTGCCCCTGACCTGCCTCCTGTCGTGGTTATGGATGGGCTGTTTCACCTCTGTTTCAATGCCCAGCGCTGCCCTCTGGGCCTTGGCCTTCAATTGCTTTTTATTTCTTGACAGCCTTAGCTGCAGCCGAGGCAGCCCGGGAGAAGAAGGGTTAAAATAAACAGTGGAAATTGCCCCGGGGGGTTCCCAGCCCTGTGCTCGGGCGCGCCCCGGGAAGCCCCGGCGGGAGCGGGTGAGCCCCGGGGCTCTGGGTGCCCCAAGCTCACGTTTTAAGTCCGGTTTATTTATTTTAAATATTATTAGTCTGGGGAGGGGTTTGCGCGGGGCTGCGGCAGCATCTCCGGGTGCGGGGCCGGGCTGGAGCATCCCCCGGGAGCGGCGGGACACCCCTCCCGCCCGCCGCGGGAGCGGCGGCACTTTCACTTTCGGAAGGGGCACGTGATTTCCAGGAAAACGGGAGTAGGCGGATAAAGGATCGGGTGGTAAGCGGCCGCCCTCCGCATCGAGATCGCCGCCCGTCCCGTCCCGTCCCGTCGCGGCAGCTCGGCGGAGCCCGCACCATGGCAGCGCTGGAGAAAGAGGGGTAAGCGGCGCCCCAGCACCCCCGTGCCGCCGTCCCCGGGTGGCCCCGGTCCCCCCGGTGACGGCCCCCTGCCCGCAGGGAGCCCCAGAAGCTGCGGTTCGGGCCGTGGCTGCTGAGCGCCATCAGCAGCGGGAGCTACCGCGGGCTGTGCTGGCTCGACCCCGAGCGCACCACCTTCCGCGTCCCCTGGAAGCACAACGCCAGGAGGGACATCACCAGCAGCGACCTGGAGATCTTCAAGGTAGGTGGGACTGGGGTCACCAGCAGGAACCTCAGGGTCTTCAAGAGACCCTGGGATGGGATCGATACACAGCTGCTCTCTCCAGCTCTTCAGGGTGGGAAGGTGGGAGTGACCACGTCTTCCAGGGGGGTGGGATAGGGTGGTGACCAGCAGCAAGTTGAGGTCTTCAAGGTGGGTGGGGTGTGGGAAATAGGAAGGCAGGAGAAGATCAGTCATCCCTGAAACCTCCGTGCTCATGGAGAGAGGGGCCCTATGCTCACCCGTCTGCACCCACAGGCCTGGGCAGAGGTGAGTGGGCGGTATGAGGAGTCTTCTGAGGACCCGGCCAAGTGGAAGACCAACTTCCGCTGTGCCCTGAGGAGCACCCACATGTTCAAACTGCTGAGGGACCATTCAAAGTGTGGCGAAGACCCGCACAAGGTCTTCACCCTTAACCAAGGTGAGCCTGGCCCCAGAGAGGGCTGTGTTGGGTGAGGTGGGCGATCTCAGGACACCCCACTCCTGGTGCTCTCCTTTTCAGCCACCCTTCAGCACAGCAAGAAGGGGGATTTCAGCAGCCCTGATCCCGCAGTGGACCAGCAGCCAGCACAACAGCAGCCTCAGGTAGCTGGGTGGGCACCGCAGCCCACTGGGGTCCCCACTGCCACTCGTCAGGTATTGCACCTCTGTGTCCTTGGGCTGCTCTCAAGCTGCAGCCCAGCATCTGGCCAAAATGCAGGCCAGGGGGAGGCTGTGATCTCCTCACCCACAGCAGAAAGATCCTATTCTGCTTCCCTTCACAGCTGGAGCCTCATCCCCAAGACGTGGCCCCAGAAATTACTCTTCCAGGTAAATGTTGGGGTCTTTTTGGAGGGGGCACCCTGCTAGGCTTAGTTGGGGCTGATTTTGGAGTTGTGAGACGTTCCACCTGCTGTGCTCCCCCCTAGGCAGCACCGACCCCACACAGCCCATATCACTGGAGAAGCTGCTGCAGCTGTGTGACATTTCCTCCTGTGACATTGTCTCCATGACCCCGTCCTGGGTGCCCGCAGGTGAGACCAGCCCTGCTTGCAGGATGCAGAATGGGTGGCCCTATGGGTGGGTGATGCCAGCACCTCCCCACTGGTGATTTCCCTGCAGGGGACATCCTGCTCCAGCCTCACCAGGACACCCTGCTCCAGCTTCGTGCTGACCCCAGCCAGAACAACTGCTTCCCTCCCACAGCATTTCAGCAGTGGGTGCCCATGGTGGAGCAGCCCGCCTTGGGCACCTACAGCCCCCTGGACCTCATGCCGCCGGAGGAGCTAGGTGGGTGCTGTGGGGCAGGATCCAGCCCTGGGCACAGGAATGCCATAATGGGGTGGGGAGAGGCCAGGGTGCTGCCACGTGCACCCCACACTAAAGCAACCCCCGCCCCGCTGCATCCCAAATCCCCGTGCTGATGCTGCTCGTGTCCCGCTGCAGGAGCCGCGCAACTGCCGTGTCACCTGACGGAGGACGCGGTCCCCGTGCAGTCGCCAGGGGAGGCGATGTTTTTGGTCCCCACCGCCAGCGCTGTGCCACAGCCACAGCCACAGCACCTGGTGGGTGACACAGGTGAGGGTTATTAATTATTAGTAGCTGTAAATTATTATATTTATTATTAGTAAATAGTAATGCTCGGGGTGGGGGTCTTTGCTTTGGAGAGGGAGAACATTTCGGTTTGGGGGATGTGGCCGCTGATCACTGCCTGGTGCAGGTGGCTTCATCTCTAACCTGGACATCACCATCTACTACCGGGGAAAGGAGTTCCACCAGGAGATCGTGCAGGGCAGCCACTGCCTGCTGACATACCAGCCCCTCGACCTGGCGGAGGACCAGGGTCCCTGGCACGTGGTGCACTTCCCCAGCCCTGCCAACATGGCCGATAGAAAGCAGTGGCGGATCACCGAGGACCTGCTGGGCAAGGTGGGGCTGCAGCTCGAGCAACGCGACTACAAGATCTTTGCCACCCGCCTGGAGAAGTGCAGGGTATTCTGGGCCCTGTCCCAACAGCTCGAGGGTGTCAAGGACCCCCCATCCAACCTTCTCGATCGGAACCAGAAAACCCCTATCTTTGACTTCAATGAATTTAGCACAGGTGGGTAGGGATGTCCTATCGTTCCCCATATGTTGTTTCGTCTTCATCCTGGTTTTAGGGCTCACAGGAACCAGGTCCAGGATGTTACAAGCATCCAAATCTTCCCCTCTGTTCTGTTCTCCGGGCTCACCCCAAAACTGATCCTTGTCTTCTCTTGCAGAGCTAAGGGACTTCCGCAACCGCCAAAGGCGGCGGTCCCCTGACTTCACCATCTACCTCTGCTTTGGTCAGGCCTTCTCCAAGACCAAGCCTAAGGAGACCAAGCTCATCCTGGTCAAGGTGCAGGAGCCAACAACCACTGTTGCCCAGGGCAGGGGAGAGACTCATGGGGGTCAGGGGAGCTGGGACACTGGGTTGTTTGAGGAGGGGGATCTTCGAGGTCTGTGGGAGAAGAAGGATCTGGGTGGCTGAGGAGGGATCCTTGGGGGCTGGGGCAGATGCGTTTCTGGGTGCTTATGGATGGGGACTCATACATGATGGATGGGGAATGGAGGTTCCTCAGGGTCTGGGGAGCGGGACCCTCAGGGGCCAGGGGAGGTGAGTGCCTGGGTGCCCATGGAGGGACACCCTCTGTGGGCAGTGGAGATGGGGATCTGGGAGCCCTTGGCATTTGAGGCAGATGGATATCTCAATATTCCTTTTGGGGCTGAGAGAGATGGGGGAACTGAGTGACAGGGAAGGGGGACCCTTGCAGACTCAGGGGGGGTTGGGTGACCAGGGACGAAACCCCTGGGGACCAGGGAAAACAGTGGGGCAGGCGTGGACCTGAGTCAGAAGACACTCGGGGTCTGGGTGGGATGCTGTGGAAGGCAGCCCAGGGATGGGAACCTCGGGGTGGGGAAGACAAAGGATGCCCCAGCTCCACTCCAGGATTCCTCCCTCCACTCCAGGAAGACAGGGCTATGCAGGCTGTTGCAGCCACATCAGGCAGCTGCCCATAACCCTGACGTTTTTCTGCTGCAGCTGGTGCCCAAGTTCTGTGAGTACTGCTATGAGAAGGTGCTGCAGGAGGGAGCCTCATCCCTTGACAGCCACACCATCAGCCTGCAGCTCTCGGACTCCTTCAGTCTCTACGATCTCATTGAGCAGTACACCATGGAGCTGGACTGACACCCACCCACCACGTGGCCTCTGGGGCAGGCAGCAGGACCACTGGGCGTTGTGCAAACCGGCACCCCCAACTCAGGGACAGCTTCACTGACCAATCTCGGAACGCACGTGTTTCTTTTCCCCTCAGTCAGCTGCTAACGTGTTTTTGTGGGTTGTGATCATTTACAGATTTATTTTCTTAATTTGTCCAAGTTTAAATATATGTATAAATAGTTCTCTCTTGCTGGTGTTGCCTGGATGTCTGCCCCCACTATAGGTCTGAAACCTTCACCACCCCCTGTACCCCCCAAAACCACGGGGGTCCATGGCTGGCCTTGTCTCAGCAAAGTCCCTGCTGGCAGCAGTGGGCTGGTATCAGAGCCCTTGTCAGCAGCTTCTTCCTCTAAGTTTTAGTGAGTGAGGTGACTTCCCACACACGAAGGGATGCATTTATCAATTCATTTATTTCCGTGCGTTAAGACTGCAGACATGACTTTGACTTGCAAGCAGAGCACGTTAAGGACAGCTTGGCTTTGGCTAAACAAAAGTAAATCTTCAGCAAGTGCCTCCCCACTGGCTCGAATTACTCACTGGAGATGTTCTGGAAAAATAAGACAGTACCAGCAACCTGAAGCACTCAGACCTGAGCTCTGAGGCACAGAGGTGTGGTGGTATCTCAGGGAGGAGTGTGGAAACCAGAGCACTGCCTGAAGGTGGGATGCCCCCTCCCCAGGCTTCAAGGAACCACGCCCACCTCATTTCAGGAGCAAGGGGAGAACAAACCTGGCCATCACTGTTGGTCCCTGGGCAAAGGGGAGGGGGCAGTGTCCTTACCTGCCTAGTGACCTGGATGCTGCTGGGCCCAAAGGTGGTGGTCCCATAGCTTGTCACGTAATAGTGAGCAGGAGGCTGTGCTGGGAGCTCCTCCAGCTGACTGGGCACTGCGGGAATGGGACACCCTCAGCACCTCAGCTCCATGAAACCCTCAGCCCTCTTTCCCCTGAGAGCTGTTGCAGCACAAACTCAAGGACCATCGGGCTCACCTTTTGGCAGAAGCAGCTCTGTGCCAAAACGGTGCCCACATGTCCCACATGTTTTAACATCTTCCCTTGTCCTGCAGAGGGAAAAGCCACAAAAAGAAGGAGCAGGAGCTGCCTCAGCAGTCCCCATGTAAGATGATGCCAAGACAACGGAAGAGGCTTGCTTTTCCCACCCTGACCTGGGGTCCCACCCTTGGTGGACACTTCCTGTCCTCCCAGGGGCCTGAGCACCTTCAGCTCTTTGTGAAACAGGGGACATGTGGGTATGTGTTCAGAGTGAATATTATGTGCCTGAGCCCACAGTCTCAGCTTCTTCACCCTTCTTTCCATGGTCAACTTTCCCACACCAGTAAGTGCTAGTAACAGGTGGGACATGAGCTGCTGCCATCAGGAAGAGGGCAAAGTAGTGCCTGCCGAGTTTCACGACTAATTTCATATGGCCTTTAGGAGCTGGCCAGCCCCACCAGCATTGCTGTAACAGTCACCCAGGTCCTGCCCTTGCCTTGGAGTGGCACAGCGTGTACATACATGGCACTCGTGCCATCCATGTCTGGCCAGATGAACTCCGCGGGGCAGCCCGCCGTTCGGCAGGGAGTCTTCACACACACGTGCAGCCCCGGCCACTCCTCAGCAAGCTTCTGGATGATGAGCACAACTGCCACGAGGAAGTCCCAGGCAGACTGGAAACCTTCCAGGCAAAAGAAGAATGTCTCACTTGCTTACAGTCCCCAACCCCGGGAGATGCTGTCGTGACGCACCCATCACTCCCAGCCTGCCAGACCACAGCCAGAACAGTGGGACCAGCTCCACTTCTCACGTTAACCAAGGCCCACAGCCTTCATACAACAGCCTTCTAATGATATGTGAGAAGAGTTCCCCAACTCAGATGGCCCTTTTGCTTATCACTTGAAGACTCGGTCTGAGACTGTACTCTGCTGGGGCCTCTATGGGGAAGGATGACCCATTTGCTCCACAAAAAGACTGAAAACTTGACTTTCTACTTCCATGTGATACTTTTAGAGGAGTCATGAACAGAACTGGATGGAGAAAGCGGAAATTTTTAAGTGAACTGCTGGTGGGCCCTGGCTGGACTAGGACATGTGGCAGAGGTTTCTTGGGACACTGCCCAGAGGGCTGGAGGTGGCAGAGGGGGAGCTAAGGAGAGGCATAATGTTGGGAGTCATGAAATACGGATCAGGAATCTTACCTGTCCTTCCTGCTGGCTTTCTGCACCGGAGCTCCAGGTAGCTGTAGGCTCTCTGGTTATTCTCTTTGATCAGCAGAGGTTTGCCATTGCATACAAGCAGGCAGGTCACCTTGGCCACCCAGTGTGTGGAGTAGACGGAGCAAGCTTTCACCAGGAACCTGCGAGGACATTGCCTATGGCTTTCACCAGCCTCCTCCCAGCTAATCTCTTGCACCAGGAGAAGGCACGGCACCAGGTGAGCTTGAAAATATGAACCCAATTTCAGTAAGAACAGAGGCAGACACCAAATGAGGACCCTCTCCTACCAAAAGCTCAGGCAGCAGTAGCAGCTTCTTCAGCCAAGAGATGCTTCCAGAGTTGGCCATGTGTCCTGCTTTTGCCTGGGATGAAGTTAATTTTCTTTCTAGTAGCTGGCACAGTGCTATCTTTTGGATTTAGGATGAGAATGATGGGGATAACACACTGATGTTTTAGTTGCTGCTGCGCAGCACTTACACCAAGGCAACGACTTCCCAGGTTCTCACGCTGCCCTGCCAGCAAGGAGGCTGGGGGTGCACAGGAAGCTGAGAGGGGACACAGCCAGGATAGCTGACCCCAAATGACCAAAGGGATATCCCATACCGTATGGAATCATGCTCAGCATATAAATGTGGGGGAAAGCTGGCTGGGAGACCAGTTTGGGAATAGGCTGGGCAGCGTTTGGTTGGTGCTGAGCAATTGTTTTTCATTTGCATCACTTGTTCTTCTTGGGTTTTACTTCTTTCTTTTTCAGTTTCCTTTTAATTACAATATTATTATAGTTATTGCTGTTTACTATGATAATTTTTTCAACTATTAAACTGTCTTTATCTCAACCCACGAGTTTTCTCACTTTTACGCTTCTGATTCCCTCCCCCATCCCACCGGGGAAGTGAGTGAGTGGCTCTGTGGTGCTTGGTTTCCAGTTGGGGTTAAACCACACCACCATCAGGTAAAACTCTGGAAACAAGTCCACAAGGCCAGGAGATGTTCCCAAAATTGGTACGGTCCCAAGACCTGTAGAAACTGGAACATCCTCAGGTGGGACGGGGAGACCTCTGACTGCCTGGACAGGCACAGACTAGCCAAACACCACTCCAGATGAAGGATGAACCAGGAGCGTGGTCCTTGTTCACATCCAGACAGCGAACATCTCAATGGTTCATCCAGGACTCCACATGTGTGTGGCAGAGCTGAGAAGTCACCCTGATATCTTGACTCCCAGCCTCATGGTTCAGCAGATACAGTCTCAACAGCCAAGGGGCTTGCTGACAGTCATACTGCTGCACCGAGCAAAGCCTGAATCACACAACTTCATCAAGGGCTGGAAACCACTGCTTACCTCTGGAAGAAGCCCTCCGGTATTTCAGGAGAGAAGTAGGCTCGGATGTGGAGGTCCTCGAGGTGATCTCCTCCCCACACCTCAGAGACTTCTTCCGTTTGGTTCAGATAGGTTGGGAACAAGTACCAGGACTCGCCTTGGCTCCGTGTTGTCTCCCATGGCTTCCCAGGCACAAACTCACTGGCCTGTGGGTTGAGCGCTTCCATGTGCCTCACCTCCAGGCAGAGCTCAAAGTGCTCCAGGAGGCTGAAGAGCTTCCCTCTCCCTCTGTGAGGCCCCATGATTTCCTCAAAGACATCCCACATCCCTGCCGAACAGAGCTGGTGCTTCACCAGAGCACGCACAGCCTGGTGGCACAGCATTGCCTTTGACTTGAAGGTCCACACCCAGTTGGCCCTGTCTCTGATGGTGGCGTGTTCCCCGATCAGCGTCTCCACAGAGATGCTCTCGAGCTGCTGGACTAGGCGGTACCTCACGAGGAGCTGGATGGGAAGAGAGGAAGAGATGAGGTGGCAGTGAGGGTAGCCCAGCAAAGCTGCAGAGCTTGGGCCCTGCAGAGCAGATGGTCCTGACCCCCATGCTCACCTTGAACATAGTTATTAGGAAGGTGGGCTGGAGAAAAACGGTGCTTTCCAGTTGCTTGATTTCCTCGTACCACACGACAAGCCCGATGCGGTGGAGGTACCGCAGTATGTCCTGGAGAAGCTCCCTGCCCAGCCTGGCCAGGTGCTTGCGCTGGGAGAGTTTGCTGAGCAGGTACTGGAGGTCCATCATGCCTAGAGGAAGATGCGGGAGCTCAGCATGCATCTATCGGACACAGCATTCCAAGGCAGATGCTTTAGAGAGCCAACAAATGCCAGCAGCATTCCATATCACCCATGCCATCCCCGAGGAAGCAGCTGGGATTGAAGCAATGCTCAGTGGCGGTGGCCCAAAATGCTTTGCCTATCCTCAGCTGTCCCACTGCCACCCTGCAGCTCCCATGGTCTTGCCTTGACTCAGCCGTGGCAACAGCCAGGACCTCCTGGCGCATCTGAAAAATGAGGCTAATGCTGGTTTCTGTCATTGTTAGAGAAAGCAGGTTTGTTCCCAGCCAGAAAACCTTAGATTGCCAATTAAACCTCAGATTGTCATCCAGTCATGCAGAGAGACAGGCAACAAAACCTGGATTATCTCCACAAAAAAAAAGCATTTGCTCCTCATTCTCTGACCCTACAGTGGCCAGGGGAGCCAGAGATGACACAGGGTGCGGGTGCTGTTTATACCTGCTTTAGGTACATAAGCAAGGAGCTGCGACTGCCTGCTAGTCCTGCTAAGTGACAAGAGACACAGAGAATGGTCTAGGGAGGGGCAGAGGCCATGAAATAAAGTTAGCAGGATGTAGATTTGGGAACTACATAGAAACATTAAAGTTGTGGAGTTCCTTCCTGCAACATTTTTTAATTGCTTATACAGTGCAAAGAGGAGAAAGAACAGCGTTACTGGAAAGAAAGAAACCGGACTACACGGCCAGCTAGCAGAGCCTCCTGGTGAAGACACAATTGGCTTTCTCCTGTGCTTTTCCCCAGGCATCTGCCTGGGGTGAGGGGGGTGGGGCAGATGCTTGTAGCGTCAGAGCTGGGCAGCAGC